CTGTTTCAGGTACAGGGTTTGCATTGCCATTTAGATACCCGTCAATCCTCTGGGCAAATTCTCCCCTCCAAAGGAAATTTCAGCAGTTCCATGAAGCAGCAAGAAGTTGATTTGCCTTAACATCCTTGGCATAATGGCAGATTTTCCTGTCTGTAATATAGCTGCATCTCCTATCCCTACCTTCGCACTTGAATACCAACTTCTCAGTTTCTATGCACTGACCTTTAAAAACTCTCTCATTCCCTAAAACAAAGCCAATAACGAGCTATGAGTTTACTCTGAATTCTACACTGTCACGAAATCAAGTTCTCCTCAAAAATAATTATAAGATGTGTCTTCCAGTGTTTTACTGGATTGCTCAGGAAACACCAACTCTAAGCAAGAGAAGAAAGAAAAGCAGGGCAAGAAAAAACTCAGTGCCAGATATAAAAAGGGAGCGGCCTGGGAGAACAAAATGTAGCATGGAAAATAATACATTTACTAATATATCATAATATAACAAAATACATAATACAGATTGGGGAAAGATGAATAGAGCCGCAACCTCTTCTGGCTTTGAGCCTCTCCTTACCACTTGAGCAAATCAGTACTGATTTACCTCCCACTTAATTCTTAGGAGGAGCATTTGGTAAGAAAAAAAAATGGGGGACAGGAAGTGTCATGGCCTCCAGAGTGGGACTAAATTGAAACAAGGAGAATGTTTGAACATTCGGTGGGTGGGGGCTATGCTATGATCTGTAGGTCTCTTTCCAGAATTCATTGAAATATAAACCCCATCTGTGAGATACGGAGGTATGAGATCTTTACATGTGATTACAACTAATTAAATCATGCATCCAAGTTTATCTTGGAAGTTGATTTCTGTCCCTGTACTCATGCGATGGTCTGTACAACCTGAAATTCTGCAGAGTCTTGCGTGCCACAAGGCCCTCCTTTTCAAGTGCAACCAACCCGCCCTCCCGACACCACCACAAATGTGAGCCTTCTGGCCTCCAAACTGTGGTCTGAACAAATGTTTAATCCAGTCTGTGGGGTCTTGTATTATTAGCTGAGTACACACAAACCAGGCCACCCCTTAGAAGCAGTGTTAGAAGTGGTAGATGCTATAGACAAGAAAAACTTCGGAGGCAGTCTCAGTGATGTCCCATCTGCAGCTGTGTTCCAGCAGTCGGAAAACAGAGCACCTAAGTAGCAAATAAGAGAATCTGGGGGCCATGCCCAGCATACATATAATATGTATGTGAATGGCAAATGGCCTTCATAAGACCATTCTCCAAAACGACTAATCATGATGTCAAAATATATCATTTTAAACATTAATGGAACACTAATAATGTGAGTCTAAAACCTGGTAATGGACATCGTCAAATTAAATATATAATTTAAAATATCATGAAGTTAGTAAGTATAAATTGTATTCTAGCACTGAGATTCATATACTCAGCAAATTATTGCTGGTAAGTTTATTCATACAAGCATATATTCCTAATTACACCCATGCTTATATAACACACGTTCCCATGGAGATAAACAGCCTCATACGAGACAGTATGAAATTCTGCCTGGACGGTCTCTTCTCTTGTTCATAACCTCCCATCTTCTGAGGTTTCTACTTTGCAGTTAAGAGAATCTCCATTCCAATTAAGAAATGATACTTACTATAATCTATCAATTAATGGTTTAGTTAATACAGCCTCCCCTGTGCATGTCTTACTTCACAGTAGAATGCCTTTTTTGTGTTTTCTACAGCCTTCTATTCTTCTGATTAGCATTCTCCTGTGTCTGAATGTATTTTGTTAAAAAGAAATACGAATGCTTGCTATATTAAGACCTTAATTTTCTTATAGAAAGAAAACCCTCCAGTATCAGTCTTGACAATTTTTCTAATTAAAAAAAATATAACTTTTATCATCTGCAGTTGTTCCTGTGCCTTTATACTTTACTCCGCACATGATTGACTGTGTAACAGGGCTTGAAGAGGCATGGAAACCTGAGATGTTTCAGTCACTGCCAAACGTAAAGCACTCGTAAATAAAATAGAATATTGTTTAAAATTGTGTTAGTCAGCAAGAAAAGGGTAACAAAAAGCTTGATTCTAGTATTGTAGGGATTTTCTTAACTAAAACTAGGTAATGTCTTAGAAGTAAACGTAAAAGAAAAGAGAAGAAAGAAAAATGGGGGAAGTGGGAGTGCACAGGAAACTCTAGGGGGAAAGAGCAGGCGGGGAGAGAAGAAGAAAGAGAAAGAAAGAAAGAAAAAGAAAGAAAGAAAGAAAGAAAGAAAGAAAGAAAGAAAGAAAGAAAGAAAGAAAGAAAGAGAAAGGAAGGAAGGAAGGAAGGAAGGAAGGAAGGAAGGAAGGAAGGAAGGAAGGAAGGAAGGAAGGAAGGAAGGAAGGACAGGCAGTCGGAAGGTAGGCCAGGCAGGCTTCCTCGGACTCGTCCCATGTCAGCACCAGTATCAACAGCCTGGCAGGCAATAGGGATGGTAAACCATGAACTCCTAAGAGAATGTGTTCTCAGAAGTCATTTGACAGCACTTTTATGTGCATCATCCCCTTCCAAGGAAATGGCTTCTCATACTCTTTGATTTCTTCTATACAACATGAAATTCACCCATTCTAACTTTTCGAAGCAAATGTGTCTTCTTCAATTTCAAATCTCCAGGGAGCTTAAATATCATTTTACTATTTGTGACTTGACAACATTTTCTTCTCTGCAATCAAAACTAGAGAGTACAATGCCAGCAATATTGTAAGCTTTTATCACAAAAAGAAAAGGAAAAGAAACACGGTGAAGGAAATGATTGAAATGTGCGTTCACTTGATTAGGGTAGTATTTCTCAAGACTTAGAAACAGCAAATGGGCTTGAACACATGCTACAGTGTCTATAAGTTATATATCAGTAAAAGTGAAGAAAATAGCCTACAGATTGCTATAAATACTCTCTACAAAGGCACTACGGAGTCCACAGGAGATTTACATTTCAAAGTAAGTACACTCTTGTATTAAAAAACTGTAATAGTTCATACATAGTAAATGCTTTCGTACTTTCTTGATCAATTCAACATTTGGAATTCCATAGGATTCTAATATAAAAAAGATCAAATTCATCCAATCGAGTTATAGAATCCATTTCAGTTATTGTAATAGAGAAATATGCAATAGAAAAGAGCCCAATGTTCATAAATTTCTCTCTAGTTCGGGTTGGTTTCAGAAAGCATGATTTGACTCATATCCACATATCTATAGAAATTCATATTATATCAAAGTCCTGTGCAGGATGTGTGGGAGATGGGGGAGGGGACAGAGAAGTGAGAAGAGAAGACAAAGAAAAGGAGAAGTTCGTTTGTATACATCAAGAAACTCAGACACTGAGATTAAAGGGAGAAGCTGAGGTTCACTCTCCTTTGTATCTTCCTTCTAAAGCAAAAAAGTTTCCACTCACCGAATGGTGGTTAAAAACACGTGGTGAGGGAATAAGCCACCCACTGGTAACTATCGAGTAAGAACGTACAACAAGGTGGTTGGATATTTACCTTCACCAGGATGAATTCTGTAGCAGTTACATCTTGACAATTAGACTCCTTATTATAAATCAATTTTATTTCTAGTAGTATTCAGTTTTATTACCCCAAGATAAAAAAAAAGTAGGATTTTCCCACCTTCTCTGTCCTTTCTGTTTGTGAGCTCCAAAAACTGTGTGTCAATTCACAAGTGATGGACTGGGAATGAGGAGGTAGCTCATTGAGTAGTGTTCTTATCTTGGAAACCATAGACCTGAATTCAGTCTCCAGACATACATAAATCTCCAGGCATGATGGAATGCATTGGTAAATTTTGTACTGGGGAGGTAAAGAAAATCGATCTCTAGAACTTCTAGGCCAGATAATAGAGCCTAAGCAGTGAGGTTGAGTCCCAGGGAGAAACAAAAATGCAAAAACAATTTTTATGCTTGTAAAGAATGATGGGTTTCCCCTAGTGTACACAAACACACACACACACACACACACACACACACACACACAGAGAGAGAGAGAGAGAGAGAGAGAGAGAGAGAGAGAGAGAGAATTTTTATTTATAGGTACTTTGTATTTTTCATTATGGGTCAGCATCTTTAGGAGTTAAACATTATTATGTTGAAAGGAAATATAAAGATTCGAATCTCACAGAGATGTCTTCAAACACAAATTTGATCATCTCCTTTTCATTCCCTATGGCCATTGACGTCTTTAACTGTAAGTCGGGTCTTTGATTCTCACATTCTTTCTGGGTTCTTACCAGCAGGATGGTTGCAGCATGAAGCTGTGTTACATCACTCCCTAGCATAGACCCTAGCATCCTAGAAGATACTCCAGAAATGACTGTTGAATAAATTGCTGTAAAAGTGTACAAATTTAGTACAAATGAATGCAACATTAAGTGTAACTAGTGTAATGTCATCTCTATATCTAACTATATTTATTATTTAAGTACGAAACTTTTTAGAGGCATTTATCAGGGCTAAAGCTAAGGCATTTTACACACTAATCAATGGATTTAACTGAACAAATAAAAGATCCCAGTATATGGAAAGAAAAGAGTGCCCGTGAGAGATGAGGTTATCTAAATGATAGTTCATGAAGACGAATGACTGTTTACACAACACGCAAGAAAACAAATTCCTGTTCACAGACTAGCTAGAAATGATACTTTAAAAAAATCATTAATTTAAAGCTTTGACACATAAAAATATTGTATAATCTTGGTATTTTATGTTCACCAAGAGAAGCATAATCTGAAGATTTTAATCGAGCTAAATATTTGAGGGACTGTGTTTAAAAAGTTTACATAGTAAAATAGAGGCCATTCAGTGAAATAATTTTAAGATACAAGTCAAGGATGACTATACATAACAGGATTTTCAGAAGTTAATATGAAATTTCATGAATTGTAGATAATAAAATATGTTTAAGTTCATTTGTGCTAGAATATTTTAGGAATAAACTCTTTAAAGAGGCCTACCTGTAAAAGATTCGTTCTGTGGAACTTGAGTGCCCCCTTCTGGTGTATTTTAGCAAAGCATCCCGAACAATAATCCTCACCGCATTCCAGGCACACCTTGAAAAACACGCACGTGTGTGTATATGAGAGGACACAAAGACAGCACAACCATCAGAAAAGGTTTGCACGAAGATGCTAATATGTTTTGTATTTATTCATCCAACTACACAGATGTCATTGGAATGGAAAAGTGCTGAAATGCTAAAATTTAACATTGAGAAACTATTTACTCTGAGAACAAATAATAGCTGTGGTCATGTTGGCTATACATATTATACACATATATACATGCACCATTTTATAATAGTCATAAAAAACTAATAGCATCCGGTCACACTCCTTGACCTGGTGGAAATGATGTGGAAATATTATACATTAAGACTCTCATTTCATGACATGTTTTATTTTTATGCTCATCAACACTAGCTGAAAACAATATATAATGTCTCTTCCAACACTTTCCACATGTGTCCATGAATGCATTCCTTTCTTGGTGATTCTTAAAATACAGTTTTGATAATGTTGTCAGATGTGTGTGCAAAGGAAAGAGAAAACAAGATGTGGTGTTTCTGGCGACTGAGAATGTCACAGGTCAGTTTATCTTTTGGCTTCTCTGTAATAGGAAAATGTACTGACTAAACTGTGGAAAGTTTGGGTATGCAACGTACCTGTCCCATGATTCTGTAAGGAACCAGTGCAAGTAAGAAGAAGGGGAAATAAAGCTTTACTAGGATTGAAGTCGCTATTATGAAGTTGCTGTAACATTGCTTCAACACCTTCACAATGTGATGTGTTTCAGATTGGCCCAGGATGAGAAAACGATGGGAAACATGGACAAGGAAGTATATAGAAGAAGAGAGAGAGTGTTGGAAGGTCTGTGTCAAGAAATGATTAGTACTGCTTTCAATGGTCAGTGATTGACTGAGCAAACATCGGTGTTTATCATGGTTGAGATCTTGAGCTCTGAGTTGAAACACGTGTATGTCATTGTGGCTTCTCCACTAACTTGTACTTCCAGGCAGATCCTCAAGTGTGATGTAACAAACAGTTCTTTCTTTAAAACCTAACAAAATCTTTAATGAATCAAGTATGTCAGATGACTGCATGGTCTATTATTAATTCAATACATTTTCAAAGATAATTGAAAACGTAAAGCTGGAAATCTTATGTAAGCAGAAAAAGCAACAGCTCTATAAAGTCTTTCTAAGAGGTTATAACAAAAAGTCCCTAATTATACAATTTTAAGTGCCAAATAAATGTTAAAGTTATAATTTCACACAGCTATATGATCGTATTAATACAGTAATGAACATTTCAAAATCCCAATTTTTGAACATACCTGTTAACATTCCTCTGAATTTTTCATAAACCTTTGGCAGTTTCTGCCACATAATATGAGTCAGGGAGCTGAAAAACCAGGTTCAGCATGGAATTCAAAGCCATGTATTTATTAACAGATGTTTAATGAAAGCAGCTAAACAGATATTTCTAGACCGGAAGATCAAAGCTGGGGTTGCCAAGCAAGCTCGCATATTTTGTTATACAAGCATATTTGGATTTAAATTGGGTTAAAATGACTGCCAACTGGAAAATCTTTTTAGGCGGTTTGTGCAACTGGCGGCAACATACTAAACCATAGATAAGGATTCCATTTTGCTGCATAGTTGCCTCAATGATAAAACCTCTCGGGTGCAATTTGAAGAGCTATCTGGATGATTTGGCAAATTCCAGAGCAGCTGTATTCGTTTTTAGAACTCACTTCATTTGAATTAAATCATCTACATGTGCCAAATTAATAGGTAACTATTCTCTCTACTGTTAGCATAGAGGAACTGCCTGAGGCCTCTGAAATGTCATTTAAAATAATGAAAGTGTTGGATTTTATTAATATTTTTAAGTGCACAAAGTCATAAGCAGACAAGATAACAACAAAATCATTTTAGGTATTGTTTCCCTTGTATGTGTTAGTTGTAGCAACAAGCACTTTATCAAATTATAACCATCGCTAGCTTTGTGGCATAGGTCACAGGTGGCAAGCCATCTTCAGAAGGACTCAGTAATTTACTTAAGGTTATGTCCTTCACAGGGAAAGTGCAAATCTCCAGACTGCAAACGGCTTACACCTATCTTGATACAGCAGGTTGGGTATGAAACTATTAAAAGGAACCATATGGGGAATGGTGTCAGAGGTTTCCATCCTTTCAAAATTATGACACGACACTGCATTTGCTATGAAAATATTGTTGCTTCTGTGTGTGTTGCTAGGCATAACTGAAAGGAGGGCAGACTTGATTATAAATGATGCCGTCAAGAAAGAGTGAGAGCATCATGTTCAGAGATGTTAAACTTATCTGCCAGAACACGGAGTAACAGTAATGAAAAGGAGTATCACATGTTGTGGGATATCTAGTATGTAAAGATACACATTTGGTTATGCTGCATTTGTTTAATTATGTGAATATGCATTGTGTTTGTTTCACCTTGCCTGCCTAAGGCATCTGATTGGCTTGAAACAGCTAAGTAGTCAATACTTAGGCAGAAAAGGGATAGATGGGGTTGGTGGGTGGAGAGAATAAGTGGGAGGAGAAATCTAGGCTTGAGAAAAAGGAGGAGAAGAAAAATAGGGTGAAAGAGAGGGATGCATCCTGGCAAGAAGCCAGACCATCACCAGCCATCCAGATGTGAGAAGCCATGAAAGAAAGAAACAGAAGGGAAGAAAAGTTAAAAAGTCAGCGAGGCAAAACATAGATGAAGAGAAATAAGTTGTAAGATCTAGGAAGAAACGAGCATACGAAGAGGACGAGCACTGATAGCTAATCCTGAGTCTCCTGGTCATGATGTGGGAGCTGTGGTAGGGATAGGACTGTGGAAGCAGACCCAGGGGAAGAGGGTGTCCAAGGGGCCCTCATAGGTCTTCCCTGCTGGCGTTGTAGTGTACTTACAAGGAGAGCAGCTTTGTTCTCACACTGTCCACAAACTTTCTTTTTAGTCATGGGCTTTTCCCTTCCAAAAGATTGAGCCATTTTATGATTTGCTTGCTGTTTCACTGGTGCTAGAAGGAAAACAAAGAATTAAAATAATCAGTTTAAAGTATGGTGGAATTTTGGGTTGTTTTGTTGTTGTTGTTGTTGTTTTAGATTAACAATGTAATGAAACTATGAACGTTTCTACATGTTCACACAGTTCTGATGCATTGGGTCCCTAACTGGATGAGGAAGGTCTGATCTGTCAGTTCATGGTAAAACCTATCGCAATGTCTGCTAGCTCCCGTAAGTAAGGGCAACACCATGTTACCTGCTTTGCTTAGACACTCTTGACCTGAACATTCGTCACTAGACAATACTGAAATTTACACCCAATATATGTAAAGACCCTATAGTCTATTATATATATATATATATATGTGTGTGTGTGTGTGTGTGTGTGTGTGTGTATTCTATAGATGATAATATGAAGAGCTTTGATTTTAGGCTATAGTACAGAAAGATGCTTACCTTGAATCTGTTCCTTCAGTATCTTTAATTTCACATTTCCGGAAGAGAGCTGCATGAATGAAATAGATGTTATTTTTCAGGTACACATTCTCTTATCCAAAATGTTAAATAGCTTTACCCTCTGAGTACATTTTGCATGAAAACATATTATTTGAGAATACTATGAAACTAAAAGATAATTAACTGCATATGTAAATTTTAAATTTCACTTAAAAGAAAAATTAATAAATATTGGGTATATAAATCATTTTTAGTTGTGTTCTGTTGTTGATACAGGATCTCACTATGTATCTCAGACTAACCTCTAACTCATGATCCTTTTGGTACTCCTCCTAAACGTTGCCAATAAAAGTATGAACCGCCATATGCAGTTCATAGACCAATTATTACACAACATACCAAGAGTATTTTTCTTATTATACAAAGTTTCAAAAACACATTTCTATGCAAGTATGTAATATAACTGGAGCACAAAAAAACTACTATATGCCATGGTGAATTGATTTTAAGGCAACACTAGCATTCACATACTGTGAAGGTTTAAAAGTCTCTTCTTCCTCCTGAAGGTATGTATAAACACTGAATCCGCACTGAATTCTGACTGAACCACTCTGTTCACGTAACCGCAGAAGCCAATGGGTTTCTTATTTGTGGAGTTTAGAGAACCACATTTCAACATTGTGGTCTTAACCAATCCTATGTATTATTTATGATTCCTTACTTTCCTACATGACTGCTAAAATATGCTTGAGAACGTAAGAGCCAATACTGTGAATTTCAATATAAACAATCCTTTAAATCCTTTGGATCTTAACAATGTAGGCAGCGAAAGAGACCTGCCAATTGAACACATTCGCCTGGGTCTTATTAAAACCAGCATTTTAAAGCGCACAGTGAGCCCAGAGGATGGTGTGCATTTACATAGACACTGTCAATTCATGCCCAGCTTTCAATTTGCAATTTGCATGCTCAATTGCCCAATTTGTACATGAAGATATGAGAACAATGGCCGTCTCTATATCTATGGCTGTACCAACTGCAGTCATCTTTGAAAATTTAGGCCTAATTATTCTCTGTGGTTTCACTCCAAAGATACACTTATTGTTCACATTCTTTGAAGTAGCTGTTCGGATGTTTTCTGTACCAAACGCAGCAGAAAAGAAAATAGAATTGAAATAATCAAACTTTATATGAATCACACTTTTATTTTTTTAAGTTGGCAATGTTATACAAGTTATAGCTAATTTAACCTCACTGAACTATCCAGCATGATTGCCTCAATGATACAACTGAATTCTGACTCTCAATGTGATCAGCCTGGCTATGAGCTCCTTATGAGTAGGTATGTCAGGAAAATAAAGAAGTTATTAGGGAAATTTCATAATTTCTTTTTATTGCTGTGAGTAATATTTTTCTGTCCTATAAATGTATTCATGTTTGCTTCAAATTATCTAAATTGCATAAAAATATTTGAGTGAGCAAACTGCTAGCTTCTAGTTTCGAGCTAATTGAATTTTGTCATTAAATATGATTTTTATGTTTGAAAAATAATTGAGTGATAAAGTAGAGTTAGCCAATGGATACAAATGCACACACTCGTGTTTACATGATTCTAAGGATCTGAAACAATAATTTGTTATGCTAAAGCCACTCATTGCTGTGCCTGTAGGTATTGAACAAGAGCTTCTCAATAAGGTTTAATTGGCTCTGTAATCTTTAACATCTGAGCAACTGGTGTGGACCAAGCTATGGTCAGTGGTCTCTCGAACAGCACAAATGCCTGCAACCTTCCACTAGTGCCTTCCTGTGCCCAAAGTGCCCCCAGGAGCACTTTTTCAATAATTTTCACCTCCTGAAATATTCCATCTCAGCTTCCTATCTATATAACAAAAGTTCCTCAGGGTTCCATAAAATGCTGTATAAAAATCCACTTAACTAATCTCTCCTAAAAGCATTTCAGCCCAAAAGTTCATATTAACTGAAGCCCATTTTGGGGGCCAAAACTTCTCTAAAATAATGTCTACAGAAACTAGTTCCTTTCTGAGGGTTTGGGTTTGTTGTGACTATTGTTTTGTTTGGATAGACTGATCTTCAACTCACTATGTAGCTGAAGATGACCCTGAACTCTGATCTACTTGCTCCATTTCCCAATACTTACTGCGTGCTAAGTAAGTACTCTCCAAATGTGCCACTTACCCAGACAACTAGATACTGTTTCACTCCCTGTTACTCGCTGGCATAGAGAGGGAAAAATCTGCATCTTTTACCCAGGGTGCTAGTCCACCATCATCACTCAGCAAATTCTCATCCATTGATAACCACTTCCTACTTACTGTCTTTACCAATGTCCAGGTTCCTCTTCCACCTACACCTCAGAAATCTACTCCATATTTCTCTTTACCCCATTGCCCGTTAGTCATGCCAAACACTGACATCCAGCACTGAAGATCCTACAACAGTCTGGCAGCTGGGAAAATCTCAATGCCTCTAGCTCCCCGCCATTGTGACCAAACCTGCAGCTAGACATCATTCTAAATGGCCACACCTACAAAATTCCAAACACTGAGGTTCTCAGTGGTAAGTAAGATCCCTTGTCCTTCTACTCTCAGCCCTCCCATTCTACATACTATTGTGATGAAATAATGCTATGTAGTTTCCTGCAAACCCATGCTGGATTCACCCCCCAGGCCCATAGGACTTCTTAGCAGTGAGTTCAATCATTTACTGCTGAACCCTAGTCACGATTCCCACAGATGCTACTCCACACCTCCACTCTCAAGAATTCATAGCTGCCCTGTTTCCTGTCTGTCACTTGAGCAGGTGCCATCACCTTCAACTCCATGAGAATGTTGGTGTCTTATTACAGGTTTCTGTACCATAGTACTGTATCATCTGTCAAAACAATCCTTAGCATTTGAGTTTATTTACACATATTTTTTTTTCTGTTTTGCTTGCCAGTGGAAATGTGTTCTCCCTTCCCCAATGAAGGTGTCTTTAATGAACCACCTTCTCAAAGACCACAGCCAACCACTGGTATTTCTGTCATTAGCATTTTCAATTTCTCCTTTACTTGTTTTCCCATTCCTCAGCCTGTAACAGACTGACTTGGGTCCACCAAACCCCTAACTACTTAATTCTTCCTTGACCCCACTGAAACTTTATGTGTTCTTACTCTTATGTTCACTACAGTAATTTGTCTGCATTGTCTCCCATTCTTTCATTTTTTAAAAATACTTGAAATATATGATCTAATGGTGGCTCAATAACTGAAACCCAGCCTTTTAATTGTAGGGATAAGCCCTCCCCTTGGGGGCGGGCTGCCCTCGGGCGTATGTTTAGCAGGTTAAGATCCTCCCTGGTAAGCCAGCTCGTGGGCTACACAGAATATTAGAAATGGGTTAAAACAATATGTAAGAGCTAGCCAATAAGAAACTGGACCTAGCCGGGCCAGGCAGTGTTTGAAAGAATACAGTTTCCGTGTAATTATTTCTGGGTATAAGCTAGCCATGGGGCGGCCGGGTGCTGGGGACGCAGCCCTGCCGCCCTTATTTCAACATTTAATAGTCTCATTTTCTACACATAGACATTGTA